GGCAGGTTATCGAAATATAATTTAAAATGGCCACATTACATTGAATTTGATGCAATATATTCGCAAAAGTACAGGAAAAATAAATAATACTTTTTTTTAAATAATGCAATGAAATTATTTAGGGGGGCTAAAGACATTTTTAGGGAGGCTGAAGCCTCCCTAAAATAGGCCTAATGACGCCCATGGCATTAGTCAAGCTGTTTTCATGCTTTAAATGTACTGCATTGCAAAGTGTTACCAACGTCCACCAGTAGACGTCTCTCCAACGCTGTGACATCTGACTTCCACTCAGAACACATTCATGGTACTGCAGAATGTAATAGGACAGTGACAAAGAACATGGGAGTGGGGATGGAATTGGTAGATTTCATAAATATCAAATATTTGCACTAATCTTACAGAACCTCAGACTGCCTCATCATATCATTTATTTCAAAAGATTTTCTTTCTACCCCGCTTCCAGCCTTCCATCTTCCTCCCTTTACCTCCCCTTTCCTTTAGCTATCCTTCATCTAACTGTCACACATTTTTCCATTACTAATGAATCACTTGTCAACCACTACTGCTGCTCAGGGGATCCATTTTAACATTGAATTGCCGTTTTTTTTCTCTTAGAAGAGGAATTGAATGCAGCTAATTGTGAGGGCATGTAGTCACAAGGCTTTTCTGGATTAACGATTGTACTTAATTATACTCTGTATGTAAGACTGACTTTCTGCATAATGTCAACAACAAGAAGTCTGTAGTTTTTTATGTTGGCATGGCTAACCATGTGTTGCAAAGCCCTTTGTCTAAAAGGAAACATAGGTACCCCACTTACTGCCCTCAAGGTCCAGCACGCTCATGATAAGCGGCTCAGGTAATGATAGCGTGTGTGTGTGTGTGTGTGTGTGTGTGTGTGTGTGTGTGTGTGTGTGTGTGTTGCTGTCCTATACATTTTGCTGTCTCAATTTCAATGTGAGCTAAACATCTCAAAGGTATATTTCAAATTAAAGCCAAAGCAAAGTCCATTTTACTCCTTAGTTATACTATGATAAAGGTTATATTCAGTGGACAGAAAATATAACTTTGCAAATAGACTACCTATTTGGTCTTTGTAGTCTTAAAATAAAATGAATTAGTGGACTAAAACTAATGGGTGTTTGTCAATGTGTGTCCTGCGATTGGCTGGCAACCAGTTCAAGGTGTGCCCCGCCTACTGCCCGAAGACAGCTGGGATCGGCCCAAACACGCCCGCACCCTTGGATGGAGAAAATGGATTGATGGATGGACTAAAACCATGACTATAACGAAAACGTTCTACTGGATATGTTTTAAATAATAAGTGCAAACACACAATAAAAATGAAGCAAAATAGTAAATGTTAAAAATAAATAAATAAACTCACCTGAACCTACAGGTTCAACTCAAACTCAAGGCGCCTTCATGCATCATAATTTTTCATCAATGTTGAGCACCGCTCAGTCAAAATCTAGTTTTTGAAGTTGTACAAATGTTTAAATGGAATGATCTTGAAAAATATTTGGAGAGCATACTACATACCCACATGCTGTATGTTTGTTTTTGCACATCATTTGCTTTGCGGTTGTTTGAATGTATGTCATGCTGAAGAAATATTCAACATTGTTATTGTGCTGATATGGTCATACCTCTCAGATAATGTTACCCTTTTCGGACATGCTATGTTTGTTAGCCTCTATTTTTATGATACATGATTTCAGTAAGACACTGCACAATAAGTTACATTTTTCCCCTGCATCCATCACACTATTTGTTTTCGCTGTCACTGGTAAGCTTCTATGATGACATCACACACCCAAAAAATAC